GGGGAGGAAGGGCACCGGGGGTACCAACAGAACATACATAAGTCACGTCAAAGAGTAGTCAACCTATGCTTGTTCCTCTACGGGAATCGGATCTGAAGTGATTGGTGATTACCCGGTTTCTGATAATCTTTTGAAGTGTACTGATGTTGAAATTTTTTTGGAAACACGAAGAGGTAACAGTTGTCACTTTGCTGCATAGTAACTTCGGCGAGCATTAGATAGTTTGATCTGATTCCGTTTTTTCTGATGTAAGACCGAAAAAGACTTGATTCTGAACTTCGAAAGTGAGCTCATCACAATGGATTGAAGCGTCTCTAGGCGAAATGCTGACAATTTCTTTTGATAAGTATTTTAGAAACCGCTGCACGTCCTATCTTCCACCTACCCCGGTATTGTCCATTGCAATTGATTGTTTACGGTCCACAGGCAATCTATGCTAAGCCATAAACAAGAAAAGGCTTCTATGATGAAGGTTCGACTCAATGGTCAGTGCCAAAAACTTTAAAGACTAGTGGAGTTTATGTTCATCAGCCTATGAAGCTACTTATAAAGCTTTCCCCTGCATCAGATGCCCAATTTGGTGACGTCGCTATATACATTAAAAGCTAAGGCTGATTAAATACAATTGATATAGATATATGTGATGTGNCAATCTATGCTAAGCCATAAACAAGAAAAGGCTTCTATGATGAAGGTTCGACTCAATGGTCAGTGAAAAACTTTAAAGACTAGTGGAGTTTATGTTCATCAGCCTATGAAGCTACTTATAAAGCTTTCCCCTGCATCAGATGCCCAATTTGGTGACGTCGCTATACATTAAAAGCTAATCGGCTGATTAAATACAATTGATATAGATATGTGATGTGTTTTCTTTGTACAGTAGCCGCCTATGGAAAGCAATCACTTCCTGGTGTGGTATAAAAGCCCCGACTTTGCCGTAGGTTACAACACATCCTATTTTGTTTCCAAAGCAGGGGCTTCCAAGAGCCCCTACGCACAGATTCAGCTCAGTTTTGTCAGCACCACTGCCAACTTCCACTATTATTGTTACCTTACATTAACTATTTCAGATGAAAATACATATTCTCTTGCTGGCCGCTACTTCGATTGTGGCGTTTCCCAGACAGGTGATTTTGAAGTGTCTTCTAATCCCACTCAGAAAAGGTGTCATTCCATTATTTAACTACTGGGAGTAGATCTTGGAGCGAAGAGAAATAAAAATTACCTCGGCAGCCTCCCACGATTCGCTCCGGTGCTTACTCTTATAGCAGACTGTGATATTGGACGATGTACAACTTCTTCTTTCTGCTATTCGAAACGGTTCCTGCACCTTTGACTAGACCAGGGTGTTGTTCGGTCGGGTGGACATCATATCAGTCTTCCTTAGTATTCTTCACTATGGCGCACCTCCTTCAATGACCATCGAAATGTGGACGGAAATGGGCCCATCGGCTATAGATTGGAACTTTGATTTCCAAGGATGGTTAAATGAACGTGGGGAAGCTGATTGTTGTAATGGGTTGTAGAATGTTATTTGTCATAGTAGATTTTTATTACCGTAACCTAATTAACCCCTCAAAAGTAGAAACAGATATCCAGGGAAGTGAGATTCCTTGCAAAAAAACTTAATTTGTTATTTCAGAAACGTGGAGATGCCAACACAACAACTGTCACGGAGTCCACCACGTCAGCTACTACAGCAACTTCGGCATCTGACCCTACAACCACAGTAGCAACTACACCTACAACGACCTC